GCTGTGAGATTTGACAAGCTGTGAGATTTGACAAGCTGTGAGATTTGACAAGCTGTGAGATTTGACAAGCTGTGAGATTTGACAAGCTGTGAGATTTGACAAGCTGTGAGATTTGACAAGCTGTGAGATTTGACAAGCTGTGAGATATGACAAGCTGTGAGATTTGACAAGCTGTGAGATATGACAAGCTGTGAGATTTGACAAGCTGTGAGATATGACAAGCTGTGAGATATGACAAGCTGTGAGATTTGACAAGCTGTGACATTTGACAAGCTGTGAGATTTGACAAGCTGTGAGATATGACAAGCTGTGAGATATGACAAGCTGTGAGATTTGACAAGCTGTGACATTTGACAAGCTGTGAGATTTGACAAGCTGTGAGATATGACAAGCTGTGAGATATGACAAGCTGTGAGATTTGACAAGCTGTGACATTTGACAAGCTGTGAGATTTGACAAGCTGTGAGATATGACAAGCTGTGAGATTTAACAAGCTGTGAGATATGACAAGCTGTGAGATTTGACAAGCTGTGAGATTTGACAAGCTGTGAGATATGACAAGCTGTGAGATATGACAAGCTGTGAGATTTGACAAGCTGTGACATTTGACAAGCTGTGAGATTTGACAAGCTGTGAGATTTGACAAGCTGTGAGATTTGACAAGCTGTGACATTTGACAAGCTGTGAGATTTGACAAGCTGTGAGATTTGACAAGCTGTGAGATTTGACAAGCTGTGAGATTTGACAAGCTGTGACATTTGACAAGCTGTGAGATTTGACAAGCTGTGAGATTTGACAAGCTGTGAGATTTGACAAGCTGTGACATTTGACAAGCTGTGACATTTGACAAGCTGTGAGATATGACAAGCTGTGAGATTTGACAAGCTGAGAGATATGACAAGCTGCGAGATTTGACAAGCTGTGAGATTTGACAAGCTGTGAGATTTGACAAGCTGTGAGATTTGACAAGCTGTGAGATATGACAAGCTGTGAGATTTGACAAGCTGCGAGATATGACAAGCTGTGAGATTTGACAAGCTGTGAGATATGACAAGCTGTGAGATTTGACAAGCTGTGAGATATGACAAGCTGCGAGATTTGACAAGCTGTGAGATATGACAAGCTGTGAGATTTGACAAGCTGTGAGATTTGACAAGCTGTGAGATTTGACAAGCTGTGAGATATGACAAGCTGTGAGATTTGACAAGCTGTGAGATTTGACAAGCTGTGAGATTTGACAAGCTGTGAGATATGACAAGCTGTGAGATTTGACAAGCTGTGAGATTTGACAAGCTGTGAGATTTGACAAGCTGTGAGAAACGCACCTTATTCGTAGTTCAAGATAACAAGACGCCATGGTCGCCGTGCAGTTGGTATACCAGGTCCTCTTCCTCACTGCGGACCTTGCGCCAGACACAGCTCTGAAACATTCACGAGAATATTACTATCACAATGTACAGTACAGAGCAGTTAACCTAATTAACACGATGTTTTAAACATCTGTGGTTCAAGGCAATATAATACAAGCAACAAAAGAGCTGCAACAAATAGGTGCAAGGTTTCAATACGCTTTCTAAGTTGTTTGCCATGTGTTGTAACATATTTTATTATTATGCGTAGATCGGAAATCAGCTTTGCCATGGTTGCAATGTTGTAGTTTGTTCTCCCTTTATTTCCACTTACGAGTGAGCCATGATAACAAAACGATCCACAGGATCTCCTAACTTTTTATTGATCGCTCTGATTGTATTAAGATTCCTGCAGTTGAAAGAAAAATATCATCAAATTTGGAAGATGGATTTCACTAGGTACACACGTAAAAACGCACAAGTTGTAACAAACCTGCAGCAAACTTGTAGCAATGCTGTTCAAACAATTTGTCAACAACTTGCTACAAGGTTGTTGAGTTCAACAGACTTCCATAGACTTGTTACAAGTTGTTCCAACAACTTGTTATCATCCCGCAATTCAACAATTTGTCAACAAGTTGTGAGCGACAACCTTGTAGCAACTTGGTAAAATAACAGCATTATTACAACTTGTTGACAAGTTTGCTACGAGCCTGTTGCGAACACATCTTGTTGACAAGTTGCGAGATTTTTACGTGTGTAGGTAGGTAGTTAGTTAATTGCCTAGCTACTGTAGTTACTTCGTTACTGTAGTTAGTTAACGAGAAAGTTAGTTAACGAGAAAGTTAGTTAACGAGAAAGTTAGTTAACGAGAAAGTTAGTTAACGAGAAAGTTAGTTAACGAGAAAGTTAGTTAACGAGAAAGTTAGTTAACGAGAAAGTTAGTTAACGAGAAAGTTAGTTAATGAGAAAGTTAGTTAATTAATGAGAAAGTTAGTGTATATTGTGTCACATATTTTACCTGATAACAATATAAAGAGACGAAGGCATTTGTTTTAAGACTGTCATCACTTTATCAAACTCGTCTCGTGCTTGAGCTGTCATGTACTGCAGGTCTTCGCGACTCATTCGGCCTGACAACAGCGAACCTAACGAATCCCATCGGAACGGACATTGAAGCAGAATTTCGCACAACACTTTGTAATCTAAACAAGTGAAAATTTGCATAAATGGCGAAATCCATTTGCGAGCTTGAAGTAGTACGATTTATTACTGACAATGATTCTGAAAACAGGTTATCAGTTTTTTTATTACGACTTCTTGATCAGTTCCGTACCTTGAACCCCAAGTTTTCGTGCATAATGTTTGATTGCATCTTGCTTATTCAACACAATTGATTTCCATAAATTACAAAGATTAAGTCGATCTCTGAAACAAGAAACATCCATTCTAAATATGCAATTACAGAGTTGACTGTGTTCTAGTAACAAGACAAAGTACCTTGTTTCCAAAGGTTGATATAAACCATGGTCAAGGATAATTAATTCAGCTTTGCCATCGGATCCAGGACGCACAAATACTTCAAAAAACGTCAAATGAAAATATAACATTTTTATTTATAGTTAGAATTAGTGTAAATATCAGATTAGATATCAGTTGGGTTGGGGGAGGGGATAGACAAAAGTTCTCTGGGTGTCAGGAGGCATCCCCCCACACCCCAATGGAGTTTCTGAAATGACATTTTCTGCACTATTCTGGGGAAGATTTGAGAATCTACTTTTTTTTTGGGGGGGGGGGGAGGGTTCCCTGTGATTAAGACAATTAGCACTGAATTCAGTCAATAATAGAAATGCTTACTGTTGGACGAGTGTGGATCCCCATGGATAAATCCAGAACCAAATATTTGTTCGCCAAATGTGATGACAAGTTTTCGAGCAACCTAAACAAACAGAGTCTTGCTATTCAAGTCCTGATCTCCCTGCATCACAAATACTGTATGCAAATATCTTACATCATCGACATCAACTCCCATCTTTTTCATTGCTTCAACATCATCAACACGACATCCATGAATAAATTCCGCTGTTAACACTCTCTGCAACAATAAATTCATACCTATCAGAAGTCTGAATGGCTATTTTCACGTCACTCATCTTTACTCTTACCTTGGTCGTCATATCCCAGTTAATCCTTGGCACAGTGACAAAACTAAGATGCTTTAATTCTCGATAACATCTCTCACCATTTTCACCTTCTTGCTCAAAATCCAGTTCTTCCACTAACTTGTGTTTCAGTTCCTATACACACCAATTCACATTTCAGAATCTTTTCATTAACACAGCAACTTCACAGGTTTTCACCTACCTCGAATATCCATGAAAATGCAAATGATGGATGCATAAAACCAATCAATTGCAACAGAATATTTATTGCCCACAAGTCACCAGAATAGCGATCTCTTAAATCAATATACTGCATCTGTGTAAAAGTAATTTTAAAAACATGTGCACAGTCAGTTTTTTAGTTAGATAATAGTCTAATAGAGTTCAGTTGTTGAGCTTTAACCCATTGAGTGGCAGCACTCTTCTCCTGACGAGTAAAATAATCTGGCGTTAGACAAAGTAAAATAATAAAGAGGGGTGCATCTGGGCTCATTGGCACTTAAAGGGTTATTAACAGGGTGATGAGTAAAATCATCTAGCGTTAGACAGAGTAAAATAGAAGAACTTGTGGTTAGAGCTCAACAACTGGACTTTGTAGCTCAGTTGATTATAGTGGTGCACTCAGTTGGTTGGACCACAGGTTCGATTGCTGCCAGCTGGTCAGGTCTCAAATTGTATCGCTCAAAATTCCCATCTATAAAAATCCTTCAAATGTTAGATCTATCGATTGAGATGCCAAAATCTTGATGTCAGTCACTTGCCTTCACAGCAACTTCCTCTCCATCGTGTGTGACTGCTTTGTGTACCTGTGCCAAGCTAGCCGCAGCTATGGGCTCATATTCAAAGGAACTAAACATTTCCAGTGGAGTTTTACCAAAATCTTCCAGGAATAAAGCATCCACCTTATAAACACAAAAATATTGTATGAGATTGAGGTATATTCCTGTAATAACACAATTTAGAACTGATAGAGCTGTCCAGCATAAATAAATTTAGTGCGGTTTAGTCTACTAGTTACTCGCCCAATTTTTACCCAAATTATCCATAAAGCTCCTGCCAATTGTTACTCTGAGTGTGCATACACACTGGGCAAGCTGAAAAGTTTGCCTGACCATGGTGGAATTGAAATCAAACCCATTGGACTAGTATCCCAAACGTCGCGATTGTAGTACCATCTAATATGCGTATCACCCCAGCAAGTTAACGCTCTTATGAGCGTCTTGTTAAGTAGATTGACCTTTATAAAATATAAAAAAATTATTACCTCTCCTGCTTTCCTTGTCAAAGCCTGCAATGGACAAGACAAAAAAGTTTATTTTATTAAATGCTCTGAGGTGGACAGCTTTCATAATTAATTCAACATACTATACCTGATCTTGTAAAAGAATCAATGTCTCCGTATATGCCTTGGGTAAAATATGATTCATGGCAGCAAGCCCTTGACACAGCTTGATATATAAACCTCCATTGAATAAAGATCCAGACATTATAGCCTGTGCTGATCTTAGATGACATGTTTCAATTAGTTCTTTATAGTCTTCGCTATCCTACAAAATGCAAAGAATGCAAATAAGTGGCAAGCAGACGTTCTTGGCATGTTGAGGCTATCAATGTACATGTATGAACAACTTGGGTGTCCCTTAGAATAAAATCTTCCAATGAAGTAATTAGTCTTCCATAACTGGTAACCAAATTCTCTCGCGTTACTAGGAACTCGAGCATGATTGAAACTCCTTTACACAGAACAGCAACTGGGCAACGATCCTTCAAATTCAGAATGGCCACAATTTGGAATTCCTTAAAACCAGAACTTAGGGCCTGTGAAACAACGAAAGACTTCAAACGTATTTTAAAACAGAGACTTGTAGAATCATTTAAATTTAGGACCAATCTTAAGAAATTTTGATGTAAATAGCATATATATTTATGTAGTAATACCAAGTGTGTGTGTGTGTGTGTGACAGTGTGTGTGTGTGTTGTGCGACTGTGTGTTGTTATGTGTGTGTCTCTATTATTATGCTGTATAAAAATTTAGATCAATTATGTAAAATTTCGCTGAAAAGCCTTTTAAGGGATGTGAAATTAAAATCCAATCCAATCTACAATCTAAATTGCAGTGGGTCCTAATTCACCATTCTTTTACTCAATCTTACATCAGATCATTTTCATCATCATTGTGGGGGGGGGGGGTTGCCTTGACACATTTCTCCTCACTACTCTGTTGTCAACTGATTTTATACTTGTAAAAGTGACAGAGTTTGAATAACAGGCGTTCATTGCAGGTGATAATAAACTTAATTGACATCCAGTGTCATAACTGTTAATACCCTAAAATTCAACCTCACCCCTGCAATGAATGCCTGTGAGTTTTTAAGTCAGACCAAAATGAAATTATTTAGTGTGATATATAACTACAACAATGATATATTCTTACAATTGCCAAGCCTCTTAATGTCCACCAATAGTCCAGAGATATTGACAAGCCAATTTTAAATGTCCTGTATAAAAGAAACCATACATTTGTACAGTATTAAGTATAAATATGTAATATGCAAGAATTTTAATAAGTTTTGGATATTGTCGATATAAACACTAAAGTTAATGTTTTAATTGCTGCAAGTAATACCAAGTATCGAGTTCCATTTCTCACCTTAAAAATCGTTGAATTCCTCCCAATTTTACAAAAAAAATTCTCCTTCCTTCGCGAGTCCAAAGTTTGTTATTATATACCATATAACACGAACAACCTCCAAACACAATTGCTGACAAGCCTCTGTAGTAATGCTTGTGTTTCAAGGCTGTTTTGAAAGTACTCTTGTTTCTAGCTCTCAATGAAAATTGTCCTGCATTTTGACAGATGTAGGGGGTCCATTTCCGCAATAAATTTTGAAGCATCGCCATTTTGTGTTTAACACCAGGTAAATATTAACTCTTGCAGGATTTTAGATTTTCTTTTTTTATTTAAATTTCTCATTTGTCATGGTTCAATTTAAATTTCACGTGCAGATATAATATAAACGAGTCATGCCCATTGGTCATGCCATATGGTCCGATTTTACGTCATTCGATTATTCGACGGGTGAACGATGTTGTCAAATTGTACAATATCTTGCATTTTTCCACGCATTTTCGAGAAATTATTACATAAAATAACTCTAGATAACTGAGGAATGTTCACTGTTGGGCTGCTTGTTTTACCGATCTACTTTGATGGCAAAAAAGTTGAAAAACAATTCGCTTTACATTTGTTTACAAATGCAAATTTAATACATTTGTATGTTTACAACTGAACACGCTAGACATAGGCCCTGTTTACACTGTACCGGATTCGCTGGTCACGACATCTTCTTTTGCCGTTACGGAGCAATGGTTAGTAGCAAATGCTTATTAGTTTGACAGAATTGGCATGTTTATTTGGGTCTCTGAGATTAAAAAACTTCACAGCCTTTCGATACCTACAAAATTTGACCCACTCCGATAGCAATCCGGTACAGTGTAAACGGAGCCATAGAATAGGCCACGCCAGGGCCACGCAGATACCGAACGCGCACGGAAGAGCACGAAAACAAGACTCGAATCTCACGATTTACATCGAACGAGAAAGGCCTGATCGCAGGTTACCCTAACCTTCCTCCCTCCTTCACTTTTGAGTTTTGTCATTTTGTTATTGTAGAATAATTAATCAGCATTAATTTTTAATTGCATTTCATATTTTTGTTGTTTTCGTAAAATTGCGTAGATCTTTTGCACTTCTAGCTGTATAAAAGTGAGCAAATATACAATATAAAACTATATATAATGGGAGCATCCTCGAGTAAAGATACTGAATTGGAAAACGCCTTGTCGAAATTTGATGAAGGCCAGGCAGAGAAATTAGAGTCAGTATTCGACAGTTTGTCAACTGACAATATACTGGATAAGAGCAAACTTGAGGTAGGCAATTGCTCTGTTGTTTGTGGGTTGGTATTTTACTGATTAATAATAGAAAACTTTATTGCCATTACTCCCCCCCCCCCCCATTAGGAACAACCGAACAAGGGTTTCCCCTTACCCCAAATAGTTGACAAATTATATTATAGTGCCAGAGGCTTACTTCTGGAGAAATCAGTTTAACCAGGCCAACTTGTGGAGTGGGGGGAGCAAGTAGAAGTGTTCCCTTGTATACTTCCATGGAAGGGGGTAACCTCGTACCCACAGCTTCTGCAACACTTCTGTACCGGACTGGAAAGTTTGGAAATTGCGTGCCGGAGATTTTGAAAATTTAATAGTAAATATATAGGAAGCATCAAAAGTGCACAGGGGATTTCTCCCCAGCGCAATACAAACTT